AACATTACTGCCTGCACCAAATCGGTGACTGCTTGCACCAAATCACTTCCACACTATGTCCTAACCTCAGTTTTAGGGTTGGGGCTAGGTTTAGGGTGAGTGCTAGGGTCAGGTTAAGGGCAGGCTTAGGTTTAGGTTTTAGGATTTAGGGTTTAGGTTAGTTTTGGAGGGATTTGGTGCAAGCAGTCACCGATTTAGTGCATAAAGACACCGATTTGGTGCAGCCAGTAATTGTATGCCCAATGAAAGGGCATGGTATTAATTCAATCACCAAACTCGCCGGAATCTCATCACCATCGCCCCCGAGCTAGGTCCTAGAGCCCTGTGCCTGGGGCGACGCCGGAAACGGCGCTAATCAGTCAACGACACGCGTGTACCCCTTCCAAACTCTCGTTTGGGCTATAGCCCTTGGGCCTGAGGATTGTCGGATACCTACCATCTCTGGTCATGAAGTTGATGAAGGGGTCGTGAGCGCAATCAAGCATTCCAGGGACCCAAACCTGAAAACCTAAAAAAAACTAAACGACCAAAACAACCAGAAAATTTAAACCTGAAAAAGACTTCCTGACTGCCTGACTCCCTGACTCGCTGACTCGTTGACTTCCTGACTTCCTGACCTTCATGTCCTTGATGACTTTTAGCCCAGAAATGAAGAGTATCGGGCTATTGTGATTGGGGCCCACAGTGCACTCATACCGAGCATCCCACTCCCTCTTCACACGACGGGAAACCGCGCTGGGCACATGAAAGTCCCGGGCAACCAACACAGAATACCTCCACAGCCCTGGGGTCTGCCCATGATGACACGTTCTGCCTCAGCCTCACTTTGCAGTTTAGAGTAATGTGCACAATCAGAGAAAGTTTGCTCCAAGCAAAGGACATGCAAGGGAGTGCAGTGAGCATAATTCCCATTCCATCAGGCGAGTCACTGCTGCATCCAGTGCATGCTCTCTTGATAACTTTCACACGACTATGATCAGGAAAGGGACATTCATGAGCCATGACAATGAATTGGCCTTCCCCATACACGTATTCATGGCATACAGGCAAAGAGCTCCCCTTCAGTGGCTGTGCTCCAGAGGACACAATCAGCTTGTGATCAGCACTTCTTTCCATCAGCCAGAGTCTGCAGTTATGTGATATCCCCGGTGTCCAGTATTTTGGCTTGCCCATGTCCTCAAAGGGCCAACCCGTCTGCGACCCTGGGTGTGCCAGCCATTTCAATTGCACCACCATCCCGTCCATTTCAGTAAACAGCAATTGACACTTGTCTGTGCAACTATGTGCTGCACAGCAACACAGCCAGGAAATGGTCTTGCTTGGGTTAAATAGAATACAAAATGTTAACATCACTTCACAAAAAATGGCGAACATCAATTGATGCGTTGTTGAAACCAGGTCCAGGGAAATCACCACTGCTGTGCACCCGATTCCTCTCTCTGTGCGCGTGCATCATGCATGTCCGAAGCCTTGTGAAGAATTCTGAAGAGCCAGATACACACGACAGCAGCAAGTCCCCAAGGCCAAAATTCTGTAAACCACCATGCCCTTTGCAAACATCCCAACGCTATCTACCAGAATGTAGCAGGCAATCGCGCAGGCTGGCCATGGCCCTTGACTGAAAACAGCACCCTCTGTCAAACACACATCCCAACAGTCTGGCTCAATTTCGTCAACTCTATCTGTAAGATCCCAGCACACTGCATCGCTTGCTTTCCAAACTACATCTCCCTCCCACCCTCTCTTCTGTTCTGGAGGCAACCCATACTCTAGGAGGCTCACACACGTCCAACCCTCCGTTCGATGTTCATGACCCACCTGTAGCGACTGGTACACAGCTGTCACCATTGCAACCTCAGGTGCGAGCTGGCCTCGCAGGGCTCAACAGCCTTTGCTGCTGGCCATCGGGTTTTCATTCCAAGAAAGACATAACATCAAATCCTGCTCTTGTAAGGGCCTTCTTTGCAACCAGTGCAAAGATCATGAACAGCAGTGCCCATGACAGCACAGAGAGTCCCCAGTCAGCATTATCCGCCTCCAGCCGTCGTCGATCGGCAGGTTGTCGTGCTTCCGCGGGTGGCAGGTCACAGTTTTCCCTCCTGTCAGGAGGGCATGATTTTGTGCCTGCGCCCTTTGCCACAGTTGGCTGGGATACAGTTTTGGGATCGAGGCCACCTGGAAGGGACCCACCTTGGGAGGGCAGCTGCAGCATAATGGAACAAATTCACGGAACTCGATATTGAATACTGTCAGTTTGAATACGAGCAGTATGTTGCCAGGGACAGCAGGAACAATGAGCTCAGGCAGCTACATGTTTGGCTGTGTTGGTGCAGTGTGCCAAAACCTTTGCCCTATGCACTGATAGATAGCAAAACCAAAGGAACATGCAGTGTACTACAACTTGCTAGGGATCAGATATGAGGAAAGCACAGATTGGAAGCAATCCACACACTTTTGTCCTTCTCCAGACCAACAGGCCTGCTGCTGACAGCACCAAGCAAGTGGTGCAATCGACAAGCACCGCATCCGCCTGAACAATATGGCAAAGACTGCGACCCAAAGTTTGTGTGGTGCTCAGTATGGAGCTAAGGACGTTTATGCACTGGACATTTTACCTTCCCAGAATACCGACAAGCCAATGAATTCCCCACAACAAACTCATCTTACAACAAACTCTGGGATGACAGTGCATTGTTCTGTATTGTATTTGCAGAAAGGGGGAGCAGCCCCACCCCCCTCTCCCCCAACACCCCATCTTCCACCACAAACTTCCACAATTTGTGCCAAGATTCAGCTTGCGAAAAGGAGGCATGATACACAATGGACAGCTCTTGCTGAGGAGCAATTCTGTGAGAAGCCCTTTACCCTGCAGCCCACGGTTGTGCTGCTTGTTGTGTTTTCCTCAACACTTCATTCCTGCAAGTTCCTCCCTCAATATTTGATGGCCTCACATCTTGATGCATAACAGACTAGAGCACCCCTGGCATAGTCCTGCTTTTTTCAGGTTAGAGTCGTTGCCCACCTTGAACCGCTCCAGTGCCTTCTCATGAGCCTCTTCAGCAACTCGTTGCCTGGCAGGTGGTCCAAACTTGGGAATGGTCGTCCTTGACAACCTAGCTAGATCTTTGCGGTCTGCTGCCGGGAAATCCTGCCAGTGCAGGACAACAGTTCTCAACTCTCACAGGAGAGCACGCCGAACATTGAAGGCTGCCTCCTGCAAACACTGATTTCCAAAGCAGTGCACTTTCAAGTTGGAAGTATCAAAAGCAAATTTGTGTGCAAAATTCATTCAACAAAGCTAGTATACATCACAGACAAGATGCACACTCTGAGTACCTGCTACAATCAAGTCAGGGACACAAGATAAACAAAGCGGAAGGCCACGCGTTCTTAAAGGCTGGGGCTGTGTCAGATCAGCAAATGTACATTAGGCACCAGCAAGAAACTTGCAAGGGTTGGCAAGGGCTCACCAGTGAGCCCAGAGCGCCCTTGCCCGGTGTTGGCATGAACGCAACCAATGCTGTGAGTGCCGTTCTGACACCCCAAGATGGCTGCCAGTGCTCAGGGTGATGGGAGGAAATGGACAAGCATATTTTAATCCCTGTCTCGAATCTGCCATTCTTGGACAGCATTATGAAAGATGGTGGCTTGAATGGGTAATCCGGGGGAAGCAGTATTCGTCCATGGTACATTCCGCCCTGAGGAAACAAACACAAAGAGACACGTACTAAATCCAGGACCATCAGCTTTGAAAGGAACTCAGGTATTCATGGCCATATGCATGAAGCTCGATTTGCCCTTGGATTTTCAATTCAAAGTCGGTGTCGGTTGCTGTTAAAATTCTCTGAACTTGCCACCGAGCACGTGTGACCAGCGAATCTGGAACAAATCCAAGGCGACTGCAGCAAGCACTATAGAATGGAAAGACTTCCATAAATTCTTGCTACCAAGGGGATTCCTCGCTGAACTGCGTGTTGTGCTTTCTGTCAACAGCATATCATCGAATGTGACCGCAGGGTGAAACAGGGAGGCAGATACATGAGGATCCGCCATTGCTGCGGAGTTGCTGCAGAAATTGACACCCGCGCCAACCCACCTCAAAGGCCGTGTCCGGAGGCCCTCGGATCACAAAGTGCCACTCGAAGATGTCGTCCTGAGCAGCAAACAAACAAAGCACGGCTCAGTAGCTGGACAATACTGGCACCACGCAGTGAGCATTTTTGAAATGTGCTAGCTGAGACGGAGACACAACAACTCTGGAGTCCACGCACCACACATTCTGGCCAGCGACAACACAGCCCAAACTCACTCCTCCACGCAGGGGGCAATGAAACAGGCCGGACAACCCACAGCCAAGTCCCCGGCACAGGCCATCCGCACCTCGAGCGCTTGCGCCACGAAATCGGGCGAGTTGTCGTCCTCCATCTCCTTTATCTCCTGCCACGGCGCAACAGTCCCCTCCTCAGCAGCCCGACCTCCATGGCTCCAATGCGGCCTTTTAGGCGACAGCCAGGGCGGGCACTAACCTGTAGGATTCGCTTCACTGCGCGGTTGCGGAGATTGAACTTCGACATCTGCCCGGCCGGCGTGCCGTCGGGGAATGCGCGGCGGACTGCGGGGCTGGCCGGGCGGGAGCGCGCTGGCGACCGCGCGCTGCCGTCAAAGGGCGGCGACGGGCGTTGGCAGCGATCGGGCGATGTGAGCGGCGAGGGGGGCAAGGGCCGCGGCGGCGGAAGTCCCAGGTGGCTCGCGGCGCTGTCCCCGAGGCGAGGGCCCGGCGCCTGCACTTGTGTGCCTGGGCGCTGGGCGCCGAGGTCGTTCCGCTGGGCATCTGGCAATGAGATGTGTCCCAATTTTGCCAATTTGTCCCGTCTTTCCAATGCGCTGGGCTCGGGGTACCCCACAGGTGGGACTATGTCTACAAGCCCGAGGCCATGCCTGCCTCCGACACAGCCGAGGGACCAGAGTCACAGAGACGTCACTGACGCAGGCAGACCCCTTTTCCCTTAGCCAACCATCCGTCAATCGTAGACCGGTCACTGTCATGTCACCGCCAGCGCACGAGAATGGAGCAAGTGCCATGGTGGAGCAATCGAGGACTGCGGAGGCTGACATCGTGGGACATCCTTTGCCCAGACACCCGGGAACCTGAGCCGGGTCCCATTGGCTCAGTCGACGGTGCTTCACACAGATCCCAACGACCTCTGGACCGGTGGTCGGTGTACAACCCCAGAGGGAAGCGGGTTCCGCAGATCTGCGTCACTGTGAAGGTGACGACAGTTTCGTTCCATCATGTTTTCCCGCTCTAGAGCGGGAAAACATGATGGAACGAAACTGTCGTCACCTTCACAGTGCAAACCCGGTGCCGTCGTGGCTGAAACTTTTCAGTGGAATGTCCTATAACATACCCGGGACATTCAGAAATCCACCAGAATACAATTCTTCAAGTATCCAAGAAAAGATTCTCGTCCAGCCCTGTTCATGCCGCCCGACACGGTTCCCCTGCAACTGTCGGCGGCCACGAAGTTGGCGCTGTGATCGGCAGGATGGCAGCAGCTCAGTGCACACCTCTCAGCCAACGCTGGGCGCCCGAGAGGCTAAGCGCAGTGGTGGCCATCGGATCGTCATATTTCGAAGGAGCTGTTCTTCTCAATCGAAAATTTCCACCGCACTGGTGTGCCTCTGGCGCAGCATTCTTGCCCCCATCACGAGCTTGCATCGCTCTGGGCGACTTTGGTGGCCAAGGGCGCTACCTGGCAGGCGACCTCTGAGGAGGACTTGTCGGATCGGCGCAGATAAGGAATCAAAGCGCTGGGTGCCCCGGGCAGCAAGACGCCCGAATGCAGCGGCAATAGCATGTGTATATACGGAGGCAAGTTGCCTCAGGCCACTGCCCAAGGCGCTGTGCAGCAGGGGCGCAGGGCGAAGCCAAGGCCGGAAGCGCCTGGAGGAGGATGTGCAACCCAAATTTTGCAGTTGCCGCGTCAGCGCTGCAGAAAATTTTGCGTGGCATTTATGCTGGCAGATGGATGAATCCACAGCCATTTTAGCGCCCAACTACCTCACCTCCAGATCCTCCAATTCTGCGGTCCTCCAAATATTCCACTGCCACAGAACTGAAGGCTCAATCTCGCCACAGTCGCATGCTGATCAGCGTCAGGAGAGATGTGTTCGACGATCCGTACAACAACCACGCTTGTTACTTGCGTTTGTGTTTTCACACGCAAAATCGTAAATTTGCAAAAGGGGCTATTTTTATGGTTTTATTTGCGTTTCTGCGGCTGGTTGGAACACCTATGTTACACGATGAAAGTCGTCTACAGTGATCAGTCCCACGCCCTCTCGAGCATACGCAACATAGCGTCCACCTGGCCCTCGGCAGGGGCAACGGCGGCATCGAACAAAAGTTCGTTTTCTGCCCACTCCAGGGTGTCTGGCTGCCATTCCCCGGACTCCACAAGCCTATATGTACTATCTTTCTGTGCACGAGCGGGTACTTACGTTGTATTTACGTATAATTACAAATTTTTTAGCTTAAAACGTAAAAACATTGTTACAAGTAAAAACGTAAATACCATTAGTGCTTACAGCATCAACAAGCAAGTTGGATTCCCCACCCATACACTAGAAGAAAACAGCATTTTGGTGCTGCCAATTGCACTGCCATTCCGACACTAACTGATGTCGTCACGGTGATTGTGATGGCAATCAAGCAGTTGTGATGGCATCAATTACTGTCCAGCGGCACTGCAGTTGGCATCGCCAAAATCTTTTTCTCTGCTGATGATGGCAGAGGATGGGCAATCACTTCAATTGGGGCAGACACAATTTGAGGCGTTGCTTGGGGAGGAGCGCAAAAGCGTAACGACGCCCCTGCGTAACGCGATAGCCAGCCTGGAGCATCGAAGCTGCCGCTGCGCTGTCGCTGCATGCACAGGTGAACTCCCACCGTCATGGGATGGTCGCTGTGAGAACTTCGGCCGATGCAGTTGACCCCCAGTTGTGAGAGAACACGGGTCCTGCTGACACATGCTTCTTCGTCTGGCAGGGATGACGTTGGCAGGACACACTGGCGCCAGGGACAGCGGCTTTTTCTGCTCGCCTGGGCGGCTTTCTGCAGCTGCCCGCGCGCCAACGACTTTCGCTCCTTTTGCCGGGCGTCGATGTGTTCCCCGATGGGGCCACCGGCAGCTGGGAAGGCGGCGGCCGTCGCCGCCGCACTGACGCTGCTGCTGCTGCATGGCGCTCCGAGCGCCCGTGGGCAGAACGCGACTCTGGCCCAGCTCATCACCGGATACGAGGACAAGATCAGGAAGGTCGCCCATGCCGCCAGCGAACTGTACGCCACGCGGAGAAATGCGATACAGAACTGCCGGCCCAGTGTGCATGCGTGCATTGACGGGCCCGACAAAGGGTTATATCAGTGCACCGACAAGGTTCCCACCAACGGCCTCGTGCGCAGCTGCAAAGATGCTCTCACCACCGGCCGAAAGGTGTGATGTGATCACCGGTGACTGGCGCGAGAATCTTGTGGTCTTGCTGCTATCTCTATTTTCCATGTCGCGCACCGTGTCGAGAAATTTGATTGTCGCGCTTTCCCTTCTTCTGCATTCCCTATGGAGCCGCGGGGGTGCACAAGTCAGCTGATATCCATGGGCATTGTGGAGAACCGTCGCTCGAAACCTATCCTAGAGTCTGGTCCACGATATTTGCGCTTGTGTCGAAGGCAAATAAAGGGCCTTGGGCAAGGCTTCGATTTCTCAAAGCCATGATATCCAGCTGGGACGTTTCAAGAAGGATGTGGGAAGCGTTTCCATGACACGTGGCACTGAGGTATATATAATTCACGGACTGTGATCTCCTGGCAAATTTGAATGAGTCCGTCATTCGGACACCGCCTGGCACCGACCCCAACAATCTGTCCGACGAAGTGAAGGAGTCCATCTGCACCTATCAGGTTGGTTCCCCTTGTGTAAGAGGATGAAGACGCGATGAAAAAGCCTTTGTCGGTGCATTGCATGCTTCAGGCCTGAAACACTGTTGCTGCCTGCGTGGTCACAAGGTGAAATTATTGTGTACACCACTGCATAATGCCTGTCAGTTCTACGCGATTGGCAGTCTGTACCATGTGCCAGCTTTTTCCACGTGCCAGAAATGTCCACTGTTCAGAAAGGTACTGAAGCTCTGTGTGTGTGCCCACTTGGTGTTTCAGGCTCTGGAGGAAGTTTTAAAAGAAATGTCTGTATATCTGGGAGCGTACATTGGGACCGTTGATGGGGGATTCAGGTGTTGAATCCACAGCCCGTGGAGCAGTTGCAATTGGCTTTCTGCCTGGTGCTCACTTTGACTGCTAACCTGATTGAGAAGGAAATGCTGATGTGAGAGCCTGCTATGTGATATTGGTGATTGATTCAGAAAATGCCAAACAGTCGCCCTGCTCTCAGCATATGGATGACCCCCTCCACAGATCATGACAAGATGCTGCATACTTGACTGGCTCCTGTGTGGATGTCCAGAATGTTGTCCACATGATTGCAATTGGGGAATACTCTTCCGGGCGGTAACAGCATCTTTTCAATTTTCAAATGGCAGCCATGCCAGTTATGCAGACAGCTTTAATTGCATAAGACACGTTGTTTTGCCAGCTGCTTTTACTGAGGTTGTTGAGCAGTGTCCATGACTTATCTGTCACTTGATGCCTGTGAAATTGACCATGCAAATGCAAGATTTTAGGATTGAGCTGGACGCCATTACACACTGGAATTCCTGCTAGCTGAACAGATCTGTGAACGAGCTTCTCTGTTGGCAGCCAGTGTCGATCATACTGGCAGTAGTAAAGGAAGTTCAACTTGTCAAGAAAAATCAGAAAAGCCCTATGTGGGGCTCGTGAACGTGAAATCGCTTTTGAAGTTGATGCTCCAATTGTCTCGTCTACTCTTAATCCCTAGGGTGCTCAACACGATTTAATTGTCTTGGGTCTGAAGAGGTGCATGACACTCCAGAATGCAGGCCCCATTGAACCTGAATTGGCAGAAACTAATGGCAATGTTGATTTCTGCAGGATATGGCCAGGAGTTGCCCAGACAAGATGTGGAGAGGACGACGAGTTCTTTCCCTCGTGCAAAAAATATGACCCGGTAAGTAGTCTTGATCATTTTGGCATTTCAAAAATCGATATTCATGACTGCTGGTTGCGTGCTCCGTTTGGCAGGCCAAATCTGTATGGAATGTTTCATGTCAGGGCTTTCGCTTTTGGATTTGTAATGCCCCGTACCTCTCCCAGCATTCATTTCGGACTCCACAGCCCAAACCGCATATGGTCATAACTTCTGTCAGCTTCCAGTCCTCGAGTTAAGGCATTTGGTGTCTTATTACTAATTAATTAATTTGATTAATACCCTTGCCTGCAGCGCGTGAGGCCATGG